CACTAAAACTGAAGAAACAAGTGGCGTTAGGAAACAGTCATTTATTAGTAGATTTGAGCGGGTGCTGCTGAACAAGCTCTCTATGGGACCCCGTTGAGATTCTGCATCCGAGTTCCATTGATTTTCAGCATGAATGATAAAACATGAAGATGAAAAGTACTTATTTCGTAGCTTATGCTCGATATAATTAATTAACTACAATTTCAAATATCTATGATTTAATTCTGGTTCATTTAATCACTGTAATTAGTTTTTTTTAAAAAAAAAAACAATGCAACTGTCTGCTTTCTGTTGTCATAAACTAGGCGTGTGTCAAAAGAAGCGTCRCGTTGCGCTGTCTTTCTGTAGACATGGGGAGAGGAAAATGTGATTTAACCAAGAGATCAGCAATAACACTCAGCACGGCAGAATCTTTTCACTCTGAAACAATATTAATAAGTAATTGCTTCTGATGGTTGGTGAGGGTCCCTTGACTGACTTATAGTTTACATGAAAGGTCTATCAGATACTGTGTTTGTATGAAAAAGAATAAGYACAAACTGTCAATAATAGACAGCAGAGGACTCTGTGTGTGGTTTTTTAATCAATCACGAACGCATCCAAGAATTTTTTAGTAATTATGTAACAGTCTTATTAAATAAACCCCCTTGTGGTACATTTGTCAGCTTTTGTTTGCCTTCTTCACTGTTGCCAGATGTTTTATTGGCCTCCAAAGGGGTCTTCTGCCCACGTGGTCACAGTCAATGTAGTGGTTGAAATGATTTTTTTCGAAGACTTGCCATGCACTTGTCAATACTGGATTTCTTTTGCCACCGCGCTCTCCATTCACTTTCTTTGTTACTTTTCTGACAGCAAGTAACAGCCTTTGAGCAACAGTCTGTAAATCCCTGCTGCCTCTTCAGCTGCTTCTGGCAATTTACACCAGTGGATTGTGGTCAGTCTAACTACTCAGCAACCACAGATTTACAGGACACAATAGCTTCTCTTTCACACCTTCCAGTTGAACATGTATCATTAAGTTGCTCACCTTTTGAGGGATCATTTTTGTTTTAAATGTGAGGTTTTACAGAATCACAGAGTGGTTGAGGTTGGAAGGGACCTCTAGAGATCATCCAGTCCAACCCCCTGCTCCAGCAGGGACACCCAGAGCATGGGGCACAGGGCGGCATCCAGGCGGGTTTGGAGATCTCCAGAGAAGGAGACTCCACAACCTCCCTGGGCAGCCTGTTCCAGGGCTCTGTCACCCTCACAGGAAAGAAGTTCTTCCTCACATGGAGATGGAATTGCCTGTGTTGCAACTTACACCCCTTGTCCTGTCACTTGCCACCACGGAGAAGAGCTTGGCCCCTTCCCCCCTACATTCCCCCTTCATGAACTTATACATGTTAATCAGATCCCCTCTCAGCCTTCTCTTCTCCAGGCTAAACAGGCCCAACTCACTCAGTCTCTTCTCATACAAGAAATGTTCCAGTCCCTTAATCATCTGTGCTGCCCTCCGCTGGACCCTCTCTWGGAGCTCCATGTCCCTCTTGTCCTGGGGAGCCCAGAACTGCCCCCAACACTCCAGGTGCGGCCTCACCGGAGCTGAGCAGAGGGGCAGGATCCCCTCCCTTGACCTGCTGGCAACATCCTCCTGATGCAGCCAGGATCCCATTGGCCTTCTTGGCCACGAGGGCACACTGCTGACTCATCGTTAACTTGGTGTCAACCAGGACTCCTAGGTCCGTGGAGCTGCCCTCCAGCAGGTCAACTTTCATATATGTTGACTTCAAAGTACAGAAAATGCAAGTGCTTACGACACCACTGACACACACCCTTTGCTTGCTAGGGAATTTCTGTATCGCCTGTCAGTTGCTTCATTCACTGTCCTTCTCCATTTCCCAATATTTAGCATGGTGTTGTATTATCCTGTTATATATCCAGAGCAATCAAGGGTGGAACCAAACTACTGAAGACAGACTCACCTGCATCACCTCAAAGAATTCACATGTATGCTTCTTTTCAGCATGTGATTTTCCTCCCTTCCCCACCCAAGTCAAACGAAAATATTTCTATGCTGTTAAAGCAGAGTAACTTTAATAATCCCAGAGCCTTAACACAACAAGAAAACAACTGTAAAAATTATCATAGGTGAAAGGGTTGATGTTGCTAGCAAAGCAGGAGTGCAATTTTCTCCAAACACAGCTTTTGGTTGCTGTGCTGTTTCAGCTGGGAGAATTTCATTTAATTTAGAGAAAGGAAGTTTTACGTTATTTATTTATTTAATAAACAGACCTGACTTTTATTACCGTTTTCATAACAGCAGCAATAAAAACGAAATGCCGGGTTTCCTTATCCCTGAGCAAAAGGCAGGAAGGGGGCAGGAGGCCGGGCAGGGGCTGTGCTGCAGAGCCGGGTCCTCTCTCCTCTCCATTCTCCAGCACAGCCTGGCACCCTCTCAGGGAAGCTCCCTGCTGGAGTCGGGAGCACATTTACAGCATTGAGGCACTGGSATTGCTTATGAAGTTGCTACAGGCAGTCTTCTTGCTAAGATTCTTGCTTTATTTATTTATTTATTTTTTTTACAATGCTTTGAGCTTTCAAGGATTTTTAAATAAGTGACTGTTCTGGTGAACATATAAGCACCGAAACTTTCTGGTTTGGGATACAGAAAAAAGGAAGCAAAACAAATCTTGAGGCAGAAAAAGACTGCACCTGAAGAAGAAATACCCCGCCCAATGAACAGGTTGTGAAATGCTGCCTGTGCAGCATGAAAGATGCAGCATTTCTGCTTTATTTTCATTCAAATTCTGGAATAATAAATCAACAGTGCTTAAAGTAACCCTGAGCAAGTGTGAGAATTTCTGGATGCCATGAATTCCTCCTTTGTGCATCAGATTGAACTAGGTTTTTTGTTTGTTTGTTTGTTTGTTTGTTTGTTTTTTTGGCTTTGTTTAAGCTCTTCAGAGGAATTATACAGGCTTTATTTTAAAAATCAGGGTTTTTTTTTTTTTTTGCTTGCAGATAATTCAGTTTGCTTTAGCTGATTCAATGACAACGAAGTGGTTTCAAACTTCGTCACTTATGTATGAGCTCAATGGACTACATCACTGATCACACAGAGCAGCACAAAAGCAGCCTTATCAAAAAGCAGTGTTCAAATGGTTTGGATTTCAAGTTTAAGTATCATTTTAAAAACTAAATTTTAGGACAATAAACAAAGAAAAAAACCCAACTCTTAAACTTGCTTGAAATTGCTTGAAATTATCATAAATAACTGAATGGACTAATATTCCTGTCTAATATTCTTGTTTCACTGTAAAGGGAAAAGATTCACTGTGGACCTGTCCAAACGTATAACTTGCAGCTCAAACAAGAACGACCTTTAGGACTGTTTTTCTCCAAGAGCTTCTTTTTGACATGCAACCAGGTTAATCCTTCAAAACATCAAATCACTTCTGAAAAAGGCTGAATGATCATTCATTCATAGAAATACAGGCATTCTGCCTGCAAAATTATTCCAAAAATCCGAAGGCTGCAACCTCAGAATCTCTGCTCTGTTTATTTATCCTGAGCTACTGTTAGTGCAGGGATTTTGAAAGGATCTTCAAGAAATGAAAGGCTTGGATATATTGTCTTTTCAATCTCCAAGCTAAAAACAAATGCTAGTTGATGAATATTTATCCGCAGGCATTTTCAAATTACTGCTTCTCTTCATTCTCCAAGAACTGCTGCATCTTGTGTCAATTGATAACAAGAGGAAAAATCAACGTTAACTTTGCTTGTTACTCTACCTAAATGCTYCAGAGCTAAAAATTGGGCAAAAAAATAACGAAATACATCACTAAACCATTTAAGCAGGCCGGGGCTGAGGGTACTTTGCTGACTTGCAGTCTGCCTTGCCCTTCACTTGCAGTACGGGAATCGGTTCCAGACTTTCAGGGGGTTGTGTTTCTATCCTACATCCCCAAATGTGAGAAGCAGGTAGGAAAGAAATCTATAAAACGTTATCCATTCTCCATCTGAGGTATATAAAATATTACATTGAGGTTATTTGTGGCTTGGATACAGAGTCTGGTTTATTTTCATGCAAGGTTTAAATTGCTYGGTCATGATGAAGACATGTAGAAACAGCAGTGAGTGAGGATTTTCAGAGGAATTTATGGAGTCCTAAACTAATAATGTAATCAGCTCAGTAGAAAAAAATATGTGAGGACTTTTATAGCAATTTCTACTATAAGTGGTTGGAAATCTGGCAATAATGCTTTTGTTTAATAGTTGCTAAATGATATGTAAAAAATAATTGCACTGTGCATAAATTCCTTATTATCTCTACTGTGGAGGTGGAAATAGCCACAGAACAAATGGTTCCCATGCAGTTTGCTAATCTTTGATATTTATACCACAGATATTTTATATTTATTTGTCTGGCTGTTTSATGGTGCATTTTTCCCTTTTACCGTACTGCCTTTGCAAAAACAGCACGGCAACAAGGATAGATGTGTTCCAGGAACCAGACAGGCATGGAAAGAAAGTAAATAAATAAATAAATAAACAAATAAATAAATAATCCCGTATTTTCTCCTCTGGGAATCACTCAAGCTGCAGTCCTTACTCTCCCCCATTCACTTTGCAGGGATGGAGAGTGTTTCTCTCCTGCACTAGCTGCAGGCCATCCCCTCACCGGGGAGCCCCATGATGAGATTTGTCGCTGCTGACAGGCTCGTGTTGGAGTATGATGGAAAGGGCCGCTGTCCAGGYGCAGCTCTGATCTGAGGGACAAAAGAAATCCTTTCTCAGTTGGACTCCCTGATGGCAGAAAGGTGCTTGGTTTTGTTTTATTTTGCTTTGTTTTGTTCTGTTTTGTTCTGTTTTTCACACAGGGCGCCGGTGCCCCCGCAGTCGCGGGGCGGCGGGAGCGCCTGCGCCTCAACCGCCCCTTCAGCTCGAGGGGCCGCCCCAACGGCCGCGCCCGACAGTGCGCACGCGCCATCGATGCGTCGGCGCTCGGCCCATCGATCGCGCCGGGATCGTCTGCGCTGCGCGGGAGGCTGCGGCGCGGCCCGGTCTCCATCTCGGCGTGACGAGGTGAGCGCGGGTGGCCGCTTCGCTCCCGATCCCGGTCCCAATCCCAATCCCTATCCCTGTCCTGGGGGAGCGGGAGGCCTCCTCGCCGCTCCCCGCTGGAGGGTTTCGGGGTGCCCCTGGGCTGGCGGCGCCTCCTTCCTCGCGCGTGCCCAGGGTAACGTGTGCTCTGCTCCTAGGCCGGCGCCTAGGCCACGATGGACATCAGGCCGAACCACACGATCTACATCAACAACATAAACGACAAGATTAAAAAAGAAGGTATTTATTTTTTAAGAGAACTTCCTTAGGAGGCTGAGGAAGGAAAGGCTGAGGGAGCTGGGGCTGTTCAGCCTGGAGAAGAGGAGGCTGAGGGGGGACCTGATCAGTGTCTATAGATACCTCAAGGGAGGCAGTGAGGAGGAGGGGGGCGGCCTCTTTTCAGTGGTGGGCAGGGATAGGACTAGAGGAGATGACCACAAGCTGAGGCACCAAAAGTTCCACAGGAACTTGAGGAAAAATGTTTTAAGAGTGAGGGTGCCAGAGCCCTGGCACAGGCTGCCCAGGGAGGCTGTGGAGTCTCCTTCTCTGGAGATCTTCCAAACCCACCTGGATGCAGCCTGTGCCCCGTGCTCTGGGTGACCCTGCATSAGCAGGGGGGCTGGACTAGGTGACTTCTGGAGGTCCCTTCCATCCTTAAGGATTCTGTGATTCTGTGATTACTTGTGCGCTGTAGTTGTGCTGCTGGTCTCACAGATGAGGCTTCTTTTTCTTTCAGTCTGTGTAAACACAGGAAGAGTCCACCAGAATATTAGGTGTCTGCAACAGGCACGTTCGTGTGTGTTATATCTGTTATTCCTTCTCATTTTAATGGCATGAAAATAGCACTGAAAGGGGTATTTGTTTTGATTTGTTTATTTGTAAGTGAATCATTACATGCTGCATGCTTGAATGATTGTTGTGGAGTTTAATGATTTTAAAACTGTGAAAACAGATCTCTAGCAACTGTAAGGGTAGTGTGGTCATGTGAGAACATATTCCAATCTGTAGTAGGAAAAAACTATTTCACATAAGCCTCAAATTGAACTCAAACTCAATTTAAACAAAATTTCTAACTTTACTTTGCCTTAAATTCATTTTGATTATTTACTGACTTGCAGTCTGTATTTTACTTAATTTCCTTGATTTCCTCCTTGATTTTTATGCCATGTGTTACAACACTGATATTCTGGTCAATTTTTGGCTAGAATGCAGAATACTGCAATGTGTATGTATGTCTGCATACGTTAATCCTTGCATAATTTATATTCCCTTAAAACGGTAAAATGGATGGATGGACCACTTTTTCACAGAGTAAAAACTTATATGTTAGGATTTAATGCCTGGTTTTACATTAGGAGGGAAAAAAGGCAAATAAATGAGCTCATGCCACAACTTTGCAACTTTGATCAAACTTATGTAGCATATTTGCTCTTGAGATAAAACTAGCAAAAAGTGCTATCTGTAGGTGACAAGAAACTTTATAGAAGCAGAATTTTGCATATAAGCTGTGTGGTATTTTTCTTTTTTCCCCATATCTTCCCCCCCCCCCATATATTTTCTTTTTTCCTCAACAGAACTGAAAAGGTCCCTGTACGCATTATTCTCCCAGTTCGGTCATGTYGTGGACATTGTGGCTCTAAAGACTATGAAGATGAGAGGACAGGCATTTGTCATCTTCAAAGAACTCGGATCATCCACTAATGCCCTGAGGCAATTACAGGGCTTTCCATTTTATGGGAAACCCATGGTAAGTGTGTGTGTGTGTGTGTAGGGGCCATGAGGCAGGACACGGTTTTGGACCTTGGAATTCACATCAATACTTCATGTTTTTGTAATGATCTGAGAAATCACTGCAGAACCTTAACAGCCATAGGAGTGGTTAAGCCTTTACATTTGGGGCCTGGAGTTTAAGCTCTTGCTTTTTGCTTTTTTTTGCATCTGGTGTCTTGACAGGCATATGTAAAAGATGCTGTTGACTCATTGTAATGAGTTCAGATTTCAGTGTGAAGTAAAACAATTAAAGTCCAAGGCTTTTTTTTATGAGGCTCCTTGAAGTGTATCTGCAGTTCCGAATAGTTTCCTTAATATAAGAAACTCCCAGAGGAGATAAGGTACAGTAGAACACAATTACTGAAGTTGATGCAAAGTGTAGTATAGTGAATCGGTATAATGAATTATAAAATGTACTTTTTTGTTTCTTTTTAAAAAGCGCATTCAATATGCAAAAACGGACTCCGACATCATCTCCAAAATGCGTGGGACATTTGCTGATAAGGAAAAAAGGAAAGAGAAGAAGAAGGCMAAAACATTGGAGCAGGCAGCAAATGCAGCAAATAAAAAGATTCTCCTGGTAAGGAGCTTCTGGATTTTTGTTTTTCTTTTGTTTTTTACTAAATGTCATCTTTTAATATTTCTCAGTTTCTTAATTTTGATCTTTTGGAAACTAGTCATTTTGAGCACTTATTAGAAATTGAAGGAAAGGAGGTGATCACATATTCCTTGTTAACCTTTTTGTGCTCTAATTGGATGAAAATGAAGACAGGTCAATATATGATAAAGTGAAGTAGAATGTAAGCTTTTTCATGGAGTTTGCAAAAGTTGCTATCTTCACTGTCAGCTTAAAATACTCAAGCCACCTCATTATGCTAATGCCTTGTTTGATAGATAAGCACTGTGGAAGGGTAAATAAAAACAAGCCAGTCCATTTAGTTATGTGAAAAGGAGTTGGCTGAAAATCTATTTTCATTAAGGATTGGCCTGACTCAAACTAACAAAGTCTATAAACTTATATGCTAAAATATAGTAGAAAATACTAAGGCAGGGGCACTTSCTTATTCAGTTATGTAACTATTCTTTCTACAAAGACTTAATTTCAGGGAGAGCTGCACTATTTTAGGCACAGTMTTCTGCTTTCTCACAATTTACTCACAGTTAATTGGTGTATAAATCTGTCAGGAAACAAGTAATTGCCAACAGTTATAATGACAGGAGCTTTAGTTATTCCCGTTGAGCTACAGTCCTCAGCGGAAACACCTTTTTCTCTYGGAAGATGTGTCCCATCTAGATGATTCTAAAAGCTGCTGCTTTCCCACCTGTTTTACCCAAATTCATACTGTGAGAAACAGTGATTTGCTCCCTTAGCTGACTTGGCTATTAGTCAAATCAGATACTGGTGCTGGCAGGGGTTTTTCTTGTTTTGGGTTGGACTTTTGTATTTTTTGTTCATTGTCGGGCTTTGAAGTTCAGCAGTATCCACAGTTTTGTTTCTYCAGAGAAGGTATTTCATAAACCACAAGTGTTTCCCAGGCCACAGCTGAAACTTCCCATCTGCTTCTTGAGTTGTACAAACTCTTGCTGATGTGGGTTTCTGTCTTCCTGACTGACTGAACACCTTTGTAAAACTGTCCTATACTTGTTTACCAGGGGACAACACAGAATTCAGCCAATGCCCCGGGAACTTCCTTGCAGAATCCACAGGTAATGCTTTTTCTTTGTAACCAAAAGCACTGATGTTTAAAATTCTTCTATACGAATAACTTCATTATATGTGGAATTGTGATGGAATCTTGAGGATATATTTTACTTTTTTTGTCATGAAGTCTTTGTCTAGCAGRTAAAGCACAATAAAGGGAGGAGGGGGGAAAAAACTGTCTTTACTGTATCTGGCATGAAGTGAAAATAATGCACTTTTTYGGTGTTACACAGAACACTGCACTATCAGCAAATTCTGTTTGATTCTTAAATTTGGTCTGTACTTCGTATCAGTTGAAGGATTTTTAAACCTCTTCATCTTTAGTAAAATTCACCTAACATCCTTTCCTTCTTGTGCTTCTAACAAATACAATTAAGAATAATGGTACTGGAGCAGCTGTGCTTACAGCTCCAGTAGCTTCTGGAGGTGAACTGTTTGCTTCTTTATGGGAATTCTGCTTTTTAATTTCTTCCTCACACGTCTTATGTTCTAAAAGAGACTGAGTGGAGATGTAACCACAACTTGCTGTGCTCCATTCTTGGCTACTCGGAGACTTTCTGAACATTCAGTGTGTGTTAAAACCAGAGCTCCTAAAGAGTCAGAATTTGTAGGCAGGCAGATACTGTATAAGAAAGTCTTCGCCCTGCATTTCTTAATCCTTGAGACTGAGAGCTGGGTATCTACACCAYAGGAAAAAGTCTTGTTCCCCATGTATATTTTCTGTGGAGTATCAGATGTAAAACARCACAGGCTGTGTATGCCAGTCTCAGGAGACATGAATAGATCAGGGTAATAAAGTTTATGATGGGGGTTTCAGTCACCCCAAAGTGGGCAATTTCAGTACCACTGTAGATGAATAAGATACTTATTTTGGCCTCCAAATGCCCTTGTGGGAGGCTGCTTGTCTCCCGTAGGTTCATTATAGGTTGCCCCATACTGGGCAGCCAGTGTACCCTGCAGTGGCTGTAGGGCCAGTGTTTGGCCACCTGCTGCCACCCCGGTGCTGCAGTCACCAGAGCAGGGGAGTCCTCAGTGCTGAGCTGCCAATTTGTTAATAAGAACTTGAGACAATGTATTATCATATGTAGTGGGGAAACAGAGATTTCCCCCAAATTAACATGGACCAGGGCCAGGGAGCTAGTCTGCGGATTACACAAGATACAGTGACGTTCAGCGGGCAGCATGATGAGAAAAGCTAAGGAGAAGTGAATTTTAGTACAACTGATATTGCAGATAGACGGAGAGGAACACGTAGCTGTGCATAATCTTCTGAGCTTTGTTCTTTTGTTTTGGCAGGTGCCTGATAACCCACCAAACTATATCCTTTTCCTTAATAACTTGCCTGAGGAAACAAACGAGATGATGCTCTCCATGTTATTCAATCAGTAAGTTTTGGATGAAAAGGACTTTGCCTTTGAATGCTTGTTATGTATATGCTTTTATTTTTTTATAGTTCCTCAGYGTTTTTTTATGCATCCCTCAGCTGACTACTTGATTTTTAGGGATAACAGTTTCTACTAAAAATACCCAGTTCTTTGTCTTGCTGTCAAGACTAGCAGGTTCCGTTCTGGTGACTTCTTGGTGCAGAAAGCAAATCAGATTTTTTCATAGCTGATTTTGACTGCATAGTTACCCACTAACAAACTGGGACAGATTTAAGCTGGTGACTCTAATTTTACAGATTTTATGGTAAGCAGTTTTAAAACTAGCTTTACTTGCTTCCATAAATGTACAAGACTGATAAAATTACTGCCACTTAATTGAGGAATAGTTCCAAAGATTAGATGTTTAAAACACCTTTAGATCATTCTTTAGTGGTAGCTATGATACTAGCAGATGCTCATGAACAGGAGGGAGATGTATTGTTGAACCAGGGAATGTTGTCTGATTCCTTCAACGTTTTTTTAAAGGTTTCCTGGTTTCAAGGAAGTACGTTTAGTGCCTGGACGTCATGACATTGCATTTGTGGAGTTTGAGAACGAGGCACAGGCAGGAGCTGCTCGAGATGCTCTACAAGGATTCAAGATTACTCCATCTCATGCCATGAAAATCACTTATGCTAAGAAATAGTTGGACATTCTTCTAAGGAACTTGTGTGGATGGCTGTTCAACCTGAGACTGCTTCTGATCAGCTAAAATGTCTGCTGCTCTCAGCAGAAGAGACAAGACTGTTGTGTAAAATTACAGCAGCTGTCAGGACAGTTGTAGGATTTCCATGGATCTAGGAGATGGTAAATTTTTGCGTTCAGATACAGATTTTTGTAAAATAAATTTATCTTGAAAACTGCAAGCTATGCCTTTCTTTTTTCTGTCTTATTATCTGACCATTATTCTGTCTTATGATGGTCTGTAAGGCTCCTGGGGCTTATTCATTATATTGATCTAACTGCTTTTAAAGTGACTTCATTTTTGGAAGAGAGTGCTGGAAAAAAGAACTTTTCTTTTTAGAATGTTGAATCTTAGCACATTCAGATTAAATAGAACCCTGGGACTTAATTGTCAGTCTCATTATCAAGGGAGCAGCTTATTTTTCAGTGAGACATTTTTGAAAATAAATAGGTAATGATTAACTAGCCCCAGCCCCTCAGGGAAYGGGTAGAGATTTGTGGAGAACTAAACAGCATTATTGTTCAGCTCTTTCCTTTGTCTTTACAGGCATGACAGGCAGGAGAAGTAGGTGCACAGCAGACAAACACMGTCGTTCCTCTTGAATCTGTTACTGCCAGTTAACTCTTAATAAATGGTTTAGGAAGAGTTTTCTGGCCCTCTAACAAGACACTGCACGTGAACCTRTTGGTTTGTGCCCAGACAGACTTCCCAAAGCCCACATCAGTGCTTCTGTGTATCTTTTTTCACATTTGCATTGTGTTAAATACCCTTTATAGAACTTACATGACCAGAAATACATTAAGCAGTGATCAGATATTAGTAGTATCCAAGGTTGTAACTCCTGGGTATTGGGGTGTAGAAATCACTCAATGCTCACTGCTTGTGGAAATCACTCAATGAAATCACTCATAGAAATCAGTCAATGGCCGTGGATAATGCTCAAGTCTTTGGTTCAAATTTTGGAAGATTTAAAAGGTTGGGGTTTGTTTGGTGGTGGTGGGGGGCTGTGATCCGTAGTGGGGGGGTTGCCTGGTGCTGCCTTGGATCACTGTAGGGGGCCCTTGAGAGCCATGGGTGGGAAGAGGGGACATGTTCCTCAATTGGAAGGCTCTGCGCTGTGAGGCTTCTAGCTCCCCATTCAGATAAAGCAGCAAGGGAATACAGTTAGCAAGGTTTCCTTCATTAAAAACGCTCAACCCAGCATTGGAATAGACAGCATCTGGATCAGAAATGACAAGAATGTACAAAGTAATATAAAAAACTGTACTGCAAGTGTTAAGTGCTGATTTATTTTTAATATTTCCAAGAAGTTTGGCCAATGTTGGGTTTGCAGGATGACCTGAGGGCTGCAATGTCTTGGCCTTGCTCAGCATGTGCCCTTGCCATGTTGTGCCGCTCGGCTGCAGCTGTGAAGCACCCTGGTTTCCCCCCCTAGTTTGTGCTCGGATGTGATGGATACCTGACTTGCAATTACTTTTGGGAACAAAGCCCTGCACCTTCAGGAATGTGTGATGGCATTTCCAAACAGCTTGGTATACCTCTTAGTTCTGGCACGTCCGCTTAGCGTGAGGTTTCTGAGCAAGTGCTGTAATTTAGCRCTATAATTCATGTATAAAACACACAGCTTATTTATTCAAATTAAAGAACTCCCTACAAATCCTGCCCTGTACACTAGGCCATGATTTCAGGAAGGTGGCTGGGTTATAACATGCCCTCTCCAAGGAGCAGAGAGGCACCTGAAAGTCAGCATGTGGTGGTGCTGTTCAGTGCCTCAAACGCGCGAGCTCTTGAGYGCGTTCCTCTCTGTGAACTTGGGTGAAACTCTCCTGGTGTAACCGGTGCATTGCTTGCTCTGCAACTGCATCTCCCTGTGGAATTAAAATCTTGTCTATACAAACACTCAGTGCTTGAACTTTATATTTCAAATTTAAGTTGCTGCCAGGTGAAATCTCTTCCTGCGTTTCAGCTCCTGCTTGTTTTTTGTCCTCGGTGCTGAGGGTACYGGTACTCACTTTCTGTAACCCTAACAGGGAGCTCTGCTGCTGAGCGCTGTCTCTAAGTACTTGTGAGAATAAATAATTTAAGGATTTGAAAGGATGTATTTTCCTTCGACTTCCTGTGACTTAATTTTCTAGTCTCAACAGACCTTCCGTGTGGAAAAGTTAAAGAGTATGGAAGGCTACAGGACAGCTTAAAATGCTGAGATAGCCTCGTGGTTTATTGAAATGTTAATGCAGGATGGCTTTGGGGGAAGGATTCAGTCCTGTAATGGGAGCAGAGCTTTCCTCCCTGCCTGCGGCTCCTCCACGAGCCTGGAATGTTGCCCTGAGCTCTTCCCATTGGCCACGGATGTTTGTCCAGATGTTGGGCTCTCCCTTAAAAGATGGGCATCACTGRAGCTGGGAGTGCAGTTAAGAGGCAGCCTAGCAAGAAACACAGGAAAATATGACCCACCGCGTTGGTTTGGCTGTTGCCCTTTTGTGCCTGGGATTAATGGACCCTCCTGTAACGGGAATTTTTATGGACAAACTCGCCAGTAAGAAGCTGTGTGCAGATGATGACTGCGTCTGTAAGTAGTTTTGCCTTAATATTGAGCAAAATATATTTTGAAAATCAACTGTGAGATTTGCACACTGTGGCATCTGAAAAGCTATGCTCCTTATTTAGCTCCGTTATATTTGGGTTTTGGCTTTAAAAAGCAGAGGGAGAGGTCACACGAAAACTCATTTCATGTACAATGGTACTACAGAAAGTTTTTTAAGAGACCTTTTTTCCCCTCTAGTGACGGGTAAGGATGGTGAGAAGGATGGAAACGTCAGTTAAGGATGAAGTTATGCGCTCCAAAGCTGGTCCTTTGTTACTGGAGATGTAGACACATGCAGGATATTTTTCCAGACTTAATAATTTCAGCATTGTCTAGTTCTGTCTGTAGAAAATTTTACATGTGTGTACATGTGTGTCCACCCACACATTYATATTTCTCTCTGTATGTGCCTTTGAATTCATCCCTATTTTTCTTTTCCTAGACACCATTTCCCTCGCCAGAGCAGAAGAGGATTATAACGCTCCAGACTGCAGATTCATTAATATTAAAAAAGGACAACTGATTTATGTTTATTCAAAACTAGTGAAAGAAAAAGAATCTGGAGAATTCTGGGCTGGGAGTGTAAGATGATGTTCTTGTGTATATAAGCAAACCATTAACACTTCTGGTCAATAAATGGCAGCCAACATCGTGTTATTGAGGGCTTTTAAAATAGAACTTATCTTCTCAAAGCAATTATTTAAACTTCAGAAATTCCTTGTGGAATCTTCAGGATTTCACATACATTTTTCAGTATGAAAATATCTTCAAGTAACTCTAATTATGAACAAACCATAAAACTAGGGATCAACGGGTTGCTTGTTTTTGTTTTTCCTTTTCCTGCAACTGTCGAAACTATGGAGAAAAAAACCTTGTCATGAAACTCTTAAATTCAAGAGAAGCAAAGATAAACATAGGAGTACTTGTGAGCTTTTCCAGATTGATTATAAGTGGTACTAATTTACTTCAAAAAAATGCATATAATGGTTCTTGTGTTAATAGCTTAAGTCCTAATTGGATAGATAGTCTAAAACCAAAGTAAGAAACATTATTAATAACTGCTTTTGACCAAACCACAAACTAGCTCAAGCTGGATGTGAACTGCTCTGAGGTATCTAATTATGCATCTTCTTGCTCGAAGGTTTATGGAGAAGAGTACGAAGACCATATGGGGACAGTTGGTTATTTCCCAAGCAGTTTAGTCTCGGAACAACATGTCTATCAGGAAGCAAATAAGACCGTTCCTACAACGGTAAGGAATTCGCAAGAGCCCAGCTGGCTGCGTAATTAAGCTGGTCCTCGGGATGCTAATTTGCTGTAAAAACAAATCATCGCTGCGGCAGTTGTCTGTAGCGCATCGCGGATGCCATGGGATCCATCCATCCTTTGGGTCTTTACACGTGCAAAGAGCCTCAGTGAAACAGTAACAGGAGCTCTGGGTTTACAGGGCTGCATCCAGATGCTGCATTGAGGGCTTGACCCTCTTAGAGTCCTCTTCATTTGAGCCGTGTTGCCTCAGGGCTGCTCAAGTCTTACCAAACTATTTGCAACACAAAACAAGCAGACTGCTTTATAAAGAGCTTGGATATTCCATTATGTACGTTAATGTGCAAGCACAGTCCCTATTAATTGTGTATATGTGGGCTAAAGTCATAGGGAAGTTAGGTTTTTATTTCCCCTGCCCCAAGGACAGTCTCCCACTTCAGATCCTTGGCACCTATCTGTAAAGATTCACCTCTGCAGTACTCAGCTGGAGAGTAGAAACAGCATTCTGTAGTTCTCATTTTGAAACAGAAATATTGGTAAAATATTGAGCTATTTGTGAGCTGTATTTGTGGGTAATATTTCCTAAATTTTGTGTGTATGTAACGAATGTATGAGAAAAGCATGCTGGTTTTCTCATAACAAGTTACTGCTATATCCCTTAGAAAGGAGCACTGAAAAACTTCTCAGAAACATGTCAGTGTTTTGTAACTAAGTAGGCTACATTTCTGAGAGGCTTCTGTTTCCTAGTTACATGCAGTAGTCTCTCACATATCACATTCCACCTGGAATTCTTAATTCTCCTGAAGATTTRAAACATTTCACACAGTGGAAGGAAGAAAAGGGTGTTTCCTCTGGTTCTGGTGTGGTCAGGCTGAAAACTCACGGTTGATCATAGCTAATTTCTATATTGAAAAGAAATTTGTGCTAGTTTTCTAATGAGCACATTTATTACCATTGAATATTTAGCTATATTCCACTTTGCAGACTACAGGAACATCCACGGATTAGTACGTCAATCCTGCAATCACATACTGAGCCTTTAATCCTAGGTCCAGATGATTAGGTGGGTTTCATTAGCACAGAGGTAATAAGATGAAATAGAATTCTTCATTTCACTTAACAGTTGCTAAGCTTTGAATTACCTTGTGTCCGACAAGTTTGATTTGAGGAAATTAAAGGAACACATGCAAATCAGGGCTAAGTGATTGCTTCTCTCTGAATTTGGCCCAGAAACAGTGCAGTCTGCTGCAGACAGAAGGAGTAAATGTATTTCTCAGCTTTTCCTCCCCCTGACTAATATGACAGCCAATCTGCTGAAGGGCAAGCTGAGCTGGAAGGAGGTTGGTTAAGCAGCACCTTAGCCTGCAGCCTGACTCAGGGGCCACATGGGTCCATCACTGGGCTGCAATGCTGAATCCTAACGGGGAAGGACAACTTCTGCATCAAAACCTCGCAAAACTAATGACGTGTAAAGCTGCCCCGTTCTTTTCCCTCTTCTTTTGCTTCTTCCACTTCGTGCTATAGCAACAGAACTTTAATGGTGATACAGATCAATTCTGAACTTCGTTCTTTGCGTTTTACAAAGGGCACTGGTGGTCAGCAGTGTGCTGCCAACCTGATCTTAAGGATCCAGCTCTCCCGTCACGCAGATTTAAAACTCTCCACAACCATCCTGATCAATGCCTGTGTGGATTTACTGCTTTCTCCAGAAATATTTTGTAGTAAAAAGTGCAGTTTTATCAGAGCTAGTGGTGTACACTGCGTGTGTGGAGGCGAGTATGGGGTGAAGTGTATGGGAGAGGGGAAGACCTGCTGCGCTGGTGGGGGAACATTAGCCCCAGGGCCTCTGTCTTTGATTCCTCCTCCCAAATAACCTTCCCTGGTGGAGTCAATGTTCACCATGAGCTGGAGCCCTCCTAATAAATCTTCATGCCTRTGAGCCTATCTCAGCATCCTTTGCACTGCTCTAGGCAATCCATGCCTGTCAGCTGCTGTTCGAGTGATAAATCTTAGGAGTTGTTTTTGCCCAGTGCTGCAACTGTTGAATCACACACTGAATTTGCTCAGTAGCATAGCTGGTGTGCGCTACAAAAGCATGAAACCGAAGTGGTGGTGGCTTGCCTTTCCTCAGTCACTTAAAATCAGCAGTGAGTGCTTTTGTTACCAGGAGGGATCCGCTCGGGAAGGGCTCCTTCTCCTCYGCTTCCAGCGGACAGCGACACTTACCCCGCTCTAATGTAAATGTTGCGGAGCTCGGGCTYTCCAGCTAGAATTGCACCCTGCAGGAAAATCAGGAGGAGATCAACACAGGCATGTAAAAGAACAGCAGACTGCTAGATGAAAGCAATAAGCAGTGGAAATGTATGCTAGGCTGCAAGATTTCAAGCAAAGGGCTGGCGTTCCTTTTCTAGTCACACTTCTCTGTGGGGAATGCATTGTATAGCCTCACTCGAAGGTGAGGTTATTCAAACACATTTCGTRTGTAAGCAAGCAACTGTCAGACAGTAAGGATGCACGTTAACATATGATTTTAATAAATCATAAATATAAATTTAATAAATTCCTGGGTGCACAAATAGGAAGAAGGATTTGTTCCGGGATGGGGGGAAGAGAGAAAACCCTGCTATTGTCTAACCTAGTATTAAAAATATTTGGTAAGAAATCATACCAGCTATACTAATAGAGTCCAATAAATGAAAAAAGAAGGAGCTGTTTTTCTTTCTTTTCCACAATTGAGGTTATATTTTTCTTTATATAGCAAACACACTCAAACATTGAGTGTTTGCATCTACTTAAGTTCCTTTGGGGGGGAGATGCAGGAACATTAATCGTCAAGTAATCTGAAAACATATTTCATTTTAACTGTTTTGCAGGACATTGATTTCTTCTGCGAATAGTGCCGAAAGTGGCTAGGTAGCTCTAGGCTGCTACAAGAAACGAGGATAGAAACCAGCCTCATCCACCTGGACACCCTTGCTGGACAACAGAATACTTTTTTTAACAGGCAGTTGTGAAGTGTATAGGCCTCAAATGAGAAACCTGATTTAAAGTTTTGTATTGTTTTGAGCAGCATACACTTTGCTACCTGTCAGTAATGTTAACAGCTCTTGAAATAAATACTGTAAGTCTTATCCAGTGGTATGGATACGCTTTGAAGGGAGATGTTCTGCCTTGGGAGATGTCCCTACCCTAACTTTGTGTCTTCGGCTAAATAAAAATTAAAATATCTTGCTTTTGTGAGCTTTCTCTACCTTGTGGAGTAGAGCTTTTGGGAAGGAGCTATTCTACAGTGCTGAAATCGCCGGTGGCTGTAATGTTGCGCAGCAAATGCCCATTCCCCACACTCCCCATCACAGCACACCCAACAATCACCACAACCCCCCTCAGAGCCACCGCCATCTGGCCGAGAACCTTCCAGAAGGGTGGGCTGCGAGCAGCCAATCATCAGGCGCCGTGGGAATTTGAGCCAATCAGAATCGTAGCTGCTGGCCTGGGGGCGGGGAGAAAGACAGAAGGCGGGAAGGGCGGCCTCTCCCCTCCCCATAAAGGCGGCGACCGTTGGGCAAGGCCTGGCAACGGTGCTAGGTGGCCACGTGGTGGCTGAGGAGCGAGTTGTGATAGTGGCTAATGTTGAACAAAACTGTTCCTAAAAGTGACCTTGGTGTCAGTGCCCCTTTAGGCTCCATGCGCTCAAATGGACCCCAAAAGGTAAAATTCTGTAGTAATCCCACCTTGTAATTGAAGCATGCCTGTTCTGTGCTGTTTTCCAGTGTTCCTTTTACACAGGTGTAGTCCTTCTAATGGCAATGCATTATACACCTGGGCACCTGTTAGAAGCCTGCCTGAACACCTGCAGAATTCGTGTTGCCATTGGTTTTGGCAAGCAGAGTGCAGTCTGTACTTGATTGCACTGTGGATACCACAAATAAAAAGAGGGAAGGTGAGATTCAGCATTCGCTATTAGTACTATTTTTTCCTGAAATCAGTGTCTCAGATACTGGCATACGTTTACCATTGTGCCCAGTTTTACATGGATGTTAGAGGCGGATATAGAAAGCTGTGCATACACTGCTACACGAAAACAGCATCTCTTCACTTGCAGTGCAGGAGCTTCAGGCAAGACCTGGGCTTCCAGGGCAGCAAATGGAGATCMCTGGTTACTGTCCTTAATCCTTAACCCCTTTAAGGAATAGTTTATAGCTGACTAGTGTTGGCTTGTGTTTGCTTTCTCATCAGCTTGCTGGAGTTAGGGATGCTGCAGGAGAGGCACATAGCAGGAGAGGATCCCCCCCGTACAAGGTGCCCGCAGAAGGATACGGATACACATACGTTATCCTTTCCTGAGCGCTTACTTATACTTAACAGCACTTACAGTATCTGTGGAGAAYGGCCTGCAAGGGCTTCTCAGGAGCCGGCCCCGCTCTCCTGTCAGGGTGCTCGTTTCTCTTTCCCTGCGTGTCTTCTGAGACCCTGTTCTGTGTTGGAAGCAGTAGCTTGATAGGCTTTTACAGGGCATCAAAGCCTATCTTTGCAYCTTGAAAATTTAATTCTGGGGAAGAAAACGATAAGGGTTCACTTTCCAGTGCCCACAAAGCATGTGGGTATGAAGGAGCGTTGTACAGGCCGAGCTGCTTGTCTGCCAAAGCTGAATTCCCTGGCCGGTGTGTTGGCAAGTGCGGGATGGCCGCCCTTTTAATGAAGCCTTTTAGCACCTTTGCTCTCCACAGTGCCAMAGCGTCTGGTTTTATAAGTCAACGTTGTGTAACAGTCATCACACAAGCACCGGTGACCCCTGCCTTGAACTCTGCTGTAACAGGCTAGGTATATTCGTAGTTTTCTTGTATGATTTATTGATAGCATCTTTTTTCTTTTTTTTTTTCTTTTTTTTTTTAAAGTTCTCCAAAGGAGAACTGTGAGCTCACTCACTAATATATTTTCAGTTAAAATGAGGGATGTTATACAACAGATCCTGATCTTTATGGCTGTTGCCTCCCTGAGACCCATCCTTTCCCTGTGCAAATGCTGCACTGTGAAAGCCTCTTGGATAGACTCACTTGGCAAGAGAGAGTGTCCGTAGCCAGGTGGGTAGAGATGTTGCAGTCGGACATGGTCTCCTAACATTAGAGAAGATCCATGGTATTCCTCYGTTGCTATTTGTTCATTTGAGTCAACGGGGTACTCAGCTGTGTTTTCAGATTGCCATTTTTCATTATTTTCTTGCATATTTCACAATGTTTGATTAATAGTTCAAAATGCTTGTTGCTGAGGCCAAGTTTTTGCTTGAGCGTCTCATTTTTAAAGCAGAGCCCAAGTTTCCATCCTTCACAAATGCAGGCAAGTATGAAAACCTTAATCTTAACAGCACAAGCACCAAAGGTAAACAAAATGATCCCAGGCCAGCCTGATGAGATCAGGGGGAGATGTGGGGAAGGCAGAATTGGCAGGAGAGTTGAAGTTGTCTGTAGAAAACTTGAGTGCTTGCAGTTGGCAGCACTATTAGTGTGAATCTGACAGCTAAAAATCAATAGTTTTGATGCTGAACACAGCTCTGCTTTCTGCTTCTCACATTCTTAGGTGAAGCTCGTTGCAGAACAGCCCAGCTTGCCATTCAGATTCCCSCATTCAGGCTGCAGAGCACCTGGCTGAAATAAACAGGAACCGACTTCCAGGACGTGCAGAGGAGGAATCAATATTCTGCTCGCAGGCTATAGAGGATGTTTTTGATTTTCTGATTTCTTTCTCTTTCCCCTACAGTGATTATTGTCCCTGCAGGTACTTTACAGAAATCACAACAACTTCACTAATTTGATTTTAGTCATATGTACGCAATAACTCTTATCTTACATACAGTGCATGCTGTTTATATGATAAGACCTTGCAACGCATGCCTGCATTTCACCTCAGGGGAAATATATGTGCARCTTGCTTTGTATTTGAATTTAGTTTTCAAAGCTGTGTGGTACTCCTGGTGCGGGCTCAGCCTGCATTCTTACTTCTGATTTCATGCTACTTTTCTGAAGGAAGTTCGCATTAAGTTTTCAACCTAGGTGGTGATTCAGGAACTTTTAAATTAAAACTGCTGGGTATTTTTCAGAAGGCTGGCTTTGAAGAAGTGTAATGCTCTCAGCTTATTACCTGAAGTAGAAAGCTGGTAATGGAGAGAGCCTTCCAGCTGTGGGATTTAATCCTTTGCTTGCCCGGTGAGGCAGTGCTGTTGGGTGGGAGCAGGGTGACATCCAGTGGCTGGTTTCTGCCTGGCGCTGGGAAGGACAAAGCTGTGGAGCATCGCAGGGACATGCCAGCCGGGACCAAGGTCACTCCGGGGAGGGGGTCTCCTGTCCAGCCTCCTGCCCAAAGAAAGGCCCCACTGAATTCACACTGTSCTGCTCAGGATGTGGCCCAGGCTTGAAAACCAGCATAGCCTGGCCTAGTCCTTAATTACCCTTATAGTGAAAATCATTTTTCTGATATAAAAGCTAKTCTTTGAATTTATGTTAATTGTCCTCCACTTGGCACCTCAATAAAGAGCTTACCTCTGCTTTCTCAATAAACTCATATAGTCGGGGGGCTGTTATTGGCTTKCCCCAAAGCTTATTTTATCCTGGGGCTGATCAAGCCCAGGTCCTAGAGCTTCTGCTCATAGGGCTGGTGGCTGCTGACCATCTTGGTGGCAGTCTGCAGAACATGCTGCAATTACACAGCAGCACGCCAGGTTGCTGATTTGGCTTGYTGACAGCGATAAGGATGACTGTGTTTATGAAGGATTCACACATGCTTATTTAATTCTCACTTATGGTGCCACTAACATTTTACACTGGAGTTGTTTTTTTTTTTTTCTAATTACACGTACTGCTGTAAGCATCTTGCTTTCTATTCTGCTAACAATAAACATAACATGCCTCAGGGCTTATGAAGGATGACAAGGAGTTCACTTAGGGTTTTGCTGCAATATGTTTTTTTTCCACAGAAAATGTGGTTTTGCAGCCACAACTTTGTAATGCCAACATGCTTTGAAAACACAAGTGCTGCCTGTTCCTGTAGAGCAACTGGGCCTGGGGCACGGCAAYGTTACTCGAGTTGCCTGGGCCTGCRCTGGGATGGAGTTGCCAGTGTGTGGCCAACTGCACACAACAAACATCAGTGACAGCAAACAGCAAAGGTAATTGGTGCCACATTCATTCCCTTTCACAGGTGGGGTGGGGGATGAAGGCTTTGGGGGAGGGAGCATCCTCAGCTCCCCACCATGGTGCTGCAGGACACGGCTAGTGAGAGGCAAACTGCAGCCCTGGCTGGGGGTAATGAGTTGATGAGCAGCAGCTGCTGCAAAAAACCCRCCTTGGCAGAGGCTGGGAAGGCAGGAGAGTAGCAGAAGCAGCTGAGGATGGGAGGTGTTATTTTCTCTCCTGAAATGCCGGAGTCTGGGCTCTGTTTTTCCTCCTCACCTTGGTTGTTGCACAAGAGAAATACCCTTCTGATGTCCTGGTATTATGAGAGGTAGGATCTCATGTTACCAACAGAGCAGAAATGATTGTTGTGTCAGGCTTTGATACAAGGGGAGACTGCAATAACTGCTTCATTAACAAGCAGCGTGGCCCAAGACRTAGGCTCTGGGATTTAAATCTTTGCTTACTATTGGAAGGGGCAAATAGGGGATGTGGAAGTTCTTTCTGCTCTGGACCTCCAGGCTGTGTAACAGAGAACCAGGTTGGAAGAGTAACTGGAGAATATTACTCCTAGCCTTGGGTTTTATATTGATTCTGGAAATAGAGTTTGCTGTTAAACCGCTACTTGTTATGTTTATATACTGGGATTATATGATTTAGATTGACAAATTGTTTGCCTTTGTTTCCTTCTCTCTGGCAAAGAAAAGATGCTTTATCTTTAGGTGGCTAATACTGACCTGGCTGCAGGGTTTTCTTCTCTTACAGTCTCCCACTCCTGCTTTGCTTCCTTGACCTGGTATGGCAAGGGCTGTGCCCTATCCCTTAAAGGTGAATGATTTTTATTTTTTATTTATTTATTTTTTGGAAATGGCTGGAGGGAAAAAAAAAGCTCCTTTGGCTGCCTTGGGACAACCAATATTATGTCAATACAGGTCACAAGAAACCAGTATGAGGCTGATTGCCCTTCCTGCACCAACTGAAACGATGCTGTCAGCTCATGAAAARCAGCAGCTTTTAAAGTATGGCATTACATAGAATAATGTGAGTTGTATTTTTGTAAATAGCACAGGAGATACATATAGTGCTGGAGTCTCCTAGCATCACTTAAAGGTGTGAATTTCTCTGAAGCGTGTAAAATGCAAAAGGTACAAAAGCCCTAAAGCTTGCCATATATGTTGGAGCAGTGAGAAGGCAGTTAAAATGCAGTTTTCTTCTCTGGTTGTACTTCCAAGCTTGTTTTGGTATGATATTAGAGGAAAAGCATTGTCCAAGGTCAGGTCTGCAAATAGTGGCACTGCTTTAAGATCTACTGGGGGGGGGGGGGGTTTGGTTCTGCAATCCCCCCAAAGATTCCTTTATATGCTGGAGCCTTCTGAAAAAAGAGATCCCAGCCCTGCTATTCCTTCTTTTGCTATGTGAATACATGAAATTGTTTAAGGGGAGGACTAAGTTTGGATGTGCAGTACCCAGCTCTRCTCAGATTAGATTGTTCCCCCCATATGGTACATCCTTTAAACAGTTGTGCAAAAAAGAGCTCCTCATCCATATGCTGAAGTCTGTGCTGGAGTATAGTCCACACTGGTCAGTACTTTGTTATGAATGCACAAGACACAGTAATGCTTTCTTGGCTGGAGGTTGCTCATGTCTCAGGCAGAAATTCTGGGAGCTGGAGCTGGAGAGTGCCCTCGGCATGTGCAAAAAGCCAAGGGCAAGCTGTTCAGCCGGCAAGTAGGGAAGTCCTCACCACCTTTGTTCTAGCTGTCCTCATACTTGAGCTTGCAGCAGAAGCTAGTGATGAGAGGGATGGTTTCAGAAACTTTGTGATGTGTGAAATGTTCATTAGTTGTTCAAATGGACAGCTGCTTGCAGGTGGTACTGTAAGTGCCTGGGCGCTCGTGCAGGGTCTTTGGAAACATGACAGTGCTTTGTGTGAACAAATGCAGCCAACTTGGCACCTGGATTCTTCCACCCTCGGCAGGCTCCAGTAGCTGGCAGAGCTGCCAGAGGTAAAATTGCTAGGGCTTTTCTGTTTATGAGACTSTACAATCAGGCTAGTTTCACATGTTTTACAGCATGTGTTGATTGTGCTGCCAACCAAAATATTAAACTTCCTTGTATCTTCTTTGAAACGCACATCTGCAAATCGCTGCCTGCAATACTCCACATGCTGTGCCTTGAAATCTTTAGAAGGAAATGTAATAGAGAAATAATGAGCTGGCTGCTAAGGATATCTGAAAATATCCTTTTGTTTCGTAGAAAATAATAATTGTGTGTGATTCCAGATATGAGGCAGTTTTGAGAAGAGGTAATGACTTCTGGGGGAAGTTGAGAATGAGTGATTATAGCAGCATACAAAATCATAGCAAAAGCAGAAGGTACAAAGTCACTATAAAGACTTTAACAGGTCATCCTGTAGAACAGAGGACTGCAGGGATTTGTCAAGGCTTCTTGATTKGGGCTGTGGATCCTTGTCAAGACTATATGCAAGTGGAATAGCTAAGCRATGACAGAAAGAGGAGGCCTAACTCAAATAGTTGACTCAAATGTAATCAATTTTTTTTTTTTTGCAGGCTAATTTGTTTTTCTTTATAATTAGTCTGGTCCCTAATTATGGTGTTGCCCATTCCCCTTGGTGTATAATCCCTCTTGCTAAAATTAGTTCTTTAGCCTGCTTTTGCTGAGGGAGACAGTGAATGATAGAGCCTGGATTCAGCTTTCAGGGAAATTTGGTTGCAAAGATACAACAGTAAATATCTGAAAAAAATCCCRGTTAGGAGGTGTAGTCTATCTACCATGTTCATAGACCAAGACAGGCTCTCCATGGAATTACTCTTGCAATTCAAAGTGAGAAGAGTCTTGTGAATTTAAGAGCCCACCAACAAAGAGGAAAACCTGCTGGTTCAAATAATGCCAGTAAGGGTGAAGGAAATGTGGAGTGATGGAAGGAGTGAAAGGTTGTGGGCAGGGGACCAAGGACCAGGAGAATCCCAGGACTTCAGAAGAGCTAATTGTGTGGGGAAACCCAGATGGGGAGGAACCAGACTAGGGTCTTTTAGCTGGTCCCTCCAAGAACACAGCCATCCCGAATTAGATGGAAGATCCATCCCAGGATTTCATGGGTCAGAGCGGACAGCTTTGTATTTATAACTCTGGATTGGTATTTCTTGCAGATTGCTTTTTTCAAACTCATCCAGTCCCTGTAGCTTGCAAGGATATTTTGACGTGCACCAAACTCATGGTTGCGTCCACGCTGTTCAGCTGTTTTTCCAGGCAATGCATGTGAGTAGTGGAAGCTGCTTAGTTATGTCYGTGTGACACTGTCCCTAGTGTAAATCAGCCCTGCATTTTAACTCAACTAAATAGCTCTTGCAGAGCAGCAGTGTTACAGCTCTGCTGCCTGGGGCATCCTCTTCCTCCCCAGGGCAGAGGACACGGTTGTCTGCCAGAACAAGCCYAATACGCTGCCACTGGCCTGTGGTTTAAGTGGATGATCTATGTTCTTAAGGGTTTGAACTGTTACCTTTTCTTCCAAAGCAGAGGAGCTTTGTTCAAAATAACTTGCTTTATTTCTTTGCTTTTCGAAGAGGGGAGAGTGCATGAGGAAGTAGCTAGTCAAGGATATTTAAAACATTCCTGTCAGGAAATTAATAATTGTGTGGTGCAGGCTGTTAAGCTAGGTCATCCCAGGCTATTTGTAATATGCATTTTATTATATATTATTATATATATATATAAAATCATAACTGCTGCTCAGCAAAGTCTTCTGTGTGTTTTGTGTTTACACTTCAGTGGGCTAGACRTGCTAGGCATTAGGAAAGTTGAATTGTTTGGATGCTTATATTGTTTCTGTGCAAGCACTAGCATGGTTTGACTCTTAACAGGAGTTGCCTTGAACTGTCTGGATGTGACCAGTGAACATAGGGGGTCCTGCTTGCTACCCTTTACTTGCTTGTTGTGTATCACTGTAACTGCATTTGTTGCACAKTGAGTGATAGATAAGTTTCTTTTAATATTTGTGCCTTGAATATTACAGATATACTCACTTTTATTTGATTATAGCATTTGGGCTCTAGCTGTGCTGAAATTCAAATCTGTCAGTAGCCAAGTCTCCGAGTGCAGCGTGTGGGCAGTGATTTTCTCATTCCATTTAAATTGGTAGTTGTATGCAAAGAGCAGCCCCTGTGATTGGGATGACTGACAGCTTTTAAAGTGTTTCCCCCTGTGGGAGGTGCAGGGCAGCACGGGTGAGATGTCCTAGCGATGGGTGGGAGCTCACTGCTCTGGAAGTTGAAAGGCAACTTAAAGCAGTGAGTCCTGGACATTTGACATACCCTGTGCACCCCAGCGGGACTCGCTCCCAAGTGTGGCCTTGTTGGTTTATTCTTCTGCTTGCAGACACAGCCTGTTTTATCTGAAATGTTAAAGTCTGGCTGTTTGAGTTTTGATTTTTATCAACAAGGTGAAGCTGTTTGTAGCCATCCGTTCCCATTGACAGCCTAAAGAATCAACAAGCCAAAATCTCTCTTCTGCTTTTGGCTCTTTTGGCTCCATTTCCTGGTGGTGGGGGGAAAAAAAAAAATCATGTCTTGTACCTCTCAAGAGGCTGTGGTGATGTAAGTGATGGAAACAACTGTGTGCCTATTAGGAAAAAGCCCCTAAGTTTCAGTGACTAATAGGAATGGCAATCCTGAGCAGTTCTGCTAACTAGACTTCAAAAAAGACTTTACATTCATATCCTGCTGGCATCACACTTGTTGACAGAGTTGAATTCCTTCTCTGGTGATGTTAAGGGAACACATGAAAGAAGTTTAAACCCCTCTTGCCCTAGTTTTAAATAAGATCTTGCAGTTTTGGAGCTCTTACTGTATCTTCCCCCCCTCCCAGTTTTCTCACTGAAGCGCTGCTGAGAATCTCAAACCCATCTTCAG